CCCAAAATCATATAAATTGTTCAGAATTTTGTGAGCTAAAATTAGGTGGATCGCACTCAGAACAGCTAGGATCAGGTCTATTATCGTATTTTGCTTTAGTAACGGTTTGATTAGTGTCATAAAGAAAAATATGTTTCCAAATTCAATTTTGATATTGGGCAATATTTATAAAGAATTAATCAAGATGAAAGGAAAATCCATGTTGTTGTCGATATTTGAATAATTGATAAATACCGTCACGAGAGAAGGTATTATTATCTATTTCTGTTTCAAATAATTTTAGTTCTGCACACTCAGTTGTAGTATAGAAGTGATGCGATGAGACAAAGTTTCTTTTAGGTAGCAAGGTATAAGTAATTCTTTGTGGATTGTTAGGATTAGGAAATTCCAAATAATAAATAGAAGGTTGAGCAGGTGTATTAAAGTTAAAGTCAACAAATCATCCGTTGTCTCAAAGTTCCTCAGATAATGGTTTAGATTTGCCATTGCCCCAAGAAAAATCAGAGAATTTGAAATATTTAAATAAGATATAAGTTTGTTCAGAGGTAAGAAAAGATCCAAATTGAAGTAAGTCAATAGCTACTTCAAGTTTTTTAACTAAACTATGATATTCCTCGCTAGTTGGAATATGGTTTAAAAATTGCCAAGCAAAATCAAAAATATTTTTGTGAAAAAGGTTTCATAAAAGAAGTTTAAAAGAGATAAAGAAAAGAAAAGAAGAAGATAATGATATATAAAAGAAGAAAATAAAGAAAATAAAACAAAGTAATAGAATTTAAATTCAATAGTCTCCTAGATACTATAGGGCTTATTCAGTAGATCAAGAAGAGGTGTTTCGTTCACTGTCCCTTTTGTATTAGCTAGTAGAACACTAATATGTTTTTCTTTTATAAGAATTATTAGCCACGAGAACATAGAGATATTCATAGATATAACTAGAGGAATAAAAGTACAAAAGTACCAAGTACTAATAATTAGGCTGTCGTAAGCTATATATGGCTTTTTAAATTCCTTATAATATAAAGCTAATACTTGCAACAGTATTATTTACAATTTTAGCTATCACTTTATACTATAAATAATATCAAGCTAATACTTGTCAAAGTATTATTCACGAATTAGCTTTCACTTAATATTATATTTGTAAGAAGATATAAAATAGAAGAAGAATAAACAAAGAAGAGTAAAAGTGATAAAAGATAATAAATTGAATATAATATAAAACGAAATTTCTAAAAGTAATTAGAAAGAATTATTAAATTTAGAAAAATTTAATAATTTAGATAAAATATTTAATAGGAAGATATAGTAAAATATAGTAGAATAGATATAATATAAGAAGAAGAAAATTTAAGAAAATTTTTGTTTTATATAACATTACTCAAATATTATTTTTAGGGTCCCTAGTTAATATGGGGGCTATGGTACAGAAAAATAAAATAATTGTTTTTAGAATAGCACGAGAGTACCTTGTATTACAATAAGATGATTGGTAAAGACCAAATTACGTGAGGGTTAAAAATAAATGAATAAGAGAAGAAAGAAAATTATAAGAAAGAAGAAAGAGCAAGAAGCAAGAAAGAAGCAAAAAAGAAAGAAAGAAGAAAGAAAGAAGAAAATAAAAGAAAAATAAGAAGAATATAACTTGTATAGGAAGGATTTATCACAATAATACAGAGAATTGCAAGTCCTATCATTGTCACCAAAACTGTAATATAGAAAGCTAATCTTGCTAACTATACTACCGTAAATTGCCAGATACAAGACCCGGGTCTGTTACATTTCACCAATTTTAAAACCTATAGTTAGACTCGCGGGTCTCTTGTATGAGTGTGGGTCTGATAATTGGAAGGTTTCTTCTATTTTAATAGTATTTTCATAGGGTTTTCCTATTAGTATACCCCGGGTCTTTTACATTTTACCAAAACTTTATTCTATATTGTAGACCCAGGTATAGTACATAGTGGGTCTACTATCTAGGGGGATCTTGTATCCGGCCATTTACAGTACTTGACTTAATGTGAAGAGAGTAAGGATATGTGTATACAAAAGGTAAAACTTAAATAAAACTCAAATAAAACTCAGATATAACTCAAAGGGAATAAACTCAAAGAATATAAACTCAAAAATAACTCAGAATATAAAATATAAAATATAGAAAATAGGGAGGAAAACACAATAAAAATAGAATAAAAACTCAAAGAAAACTCAAGAAAAACTCAAAGAAAACACTATAAAATCACTATAAAAACATAATAAAAAGAGCATATATATAGTAGTGGGTATATGATCAAAGGTATATTATTTATTTAATAGGGAAAAGGTTAGGAAAATACAAGTTAGGACCTGGCAAAACCTATCCTGCCTTGGGCAAAAAGATGGTTTTTATATCTTTTATATAGAACTCTATATAAGAACGAATAATATTTTGTACCAACGGGTTTGTGTCTGTGCTAACGGGCCTGTACCAACGGGTCTGTGTCTGTGCCAATGGGTTTGTACCAACGGGTCTGTGTCAATGGGTTTGTACCAATGGGTTCCATATTACAAGAATAACAGATTATTATTCGTTATCTTCTATAGTTATATATCTTTAAACCTTAATAACTCGTTAACTATTAACCTGATTGACAAATGGTAAAAACTATACTAAGGAAATTAATATCAATAATTCCATTGGTGGAATCATATTTGTACTACAATTAGAAGTTACATAGAGTTACTTAATAAAAATTTAAAAATACTAATATACTATTAATATAATACTATATATATTTTTATATAAGAAAGATCTTATATGAAGAGAAGGGGGATACTTCCTATAGTAAAAAAATATTACATGATATATGTCACAGCCCTAAGCAGATTATTTTTAGATAAAAGTAATATGTTAAAATGAATATTTGAGCCAAATTTTTTAAGAACTTTATTATAAAAAAGCTTAGAATTTTGAGTAAAGTTAATATTTCTCTTTTGGAGTTTAGCAGAAATTTCTTCTTAAATTTGTTGTTTTTTTTCTAGTTTTAATTGTTTTTTAATATTTTTTTTTCTGTTTTGAGTATGGCTTTAAGTTGAGAAGATTAAGTATTTGAAATTGTGTTAGATAAAAAAAAAGTATTATGTGAATATTTGTTGTAGTAATTAAGAAAAGAGTTTGATATATTATTGGTTTTAACAGATTTTTTTAATAAAATTAAATATTTTAGTTGGTAATAGAAGGGAATGAGGATTTTAGTAGGTTTAGTTATAGTTAATTTTGGTTTGATTTTTTTATAAGATAAGTATTTGAATATAGCTTGAGTTATTATTTTGTTTATTTGGTTTTAAGTATGATTGAGATTATTTAGATTTTGAATATGAGTAATTTGAGAGAATAGTTTTTTTAAATTTTAGATTATTTGATTTTGATAGTTTTCTATATAGGTTGTAGTGATAATCTTCTAGTTGAAGATTTTTTTAGAAAATAATATATGTTTTTTGTATATTACAGAAAGTATTATTTCTAATTGTGTGATAGTGCAATCTGATTTTATTGAAATTGAATTGAGAATATCTGCATATTCGAGAAGTAAAATTGATAGATTTGTTTAAATTTGGTTAATTCTACTAAATAAGTTTCTGTGTTGACATGTATATTTAAGAGTAGTTAGATAAAATAGTCTAAATATGTTATGAAATTGAAATTTTAAGATTTTGATTATTTGTGAATCTGGTAAAGAAAAATTTTTTAAGAGGAAATCTATTTTGGGATTGGGTATTGAGTTTAAGTCACCCATAAAGATGATTTTGTATTAGAAGTTTTGAAGGTAGATATTGATTTGGTTTTGAATTTTTTTTTTTAATTTGTGTTTTTCTTGGATTGAAAAGTATATTTGTATTATTTGTATAGAAATTGTTGGAAAGTAAAAGATAATTGTTAGAAGATATTCTTGATGTTCTTGCACTTTGTCTATATATTTAGCAAGTTGGTTGTGAATATAAAGCTCTATACCACCTTGTTAATTATTTTTAGCTAAACTCTAGAAGTTTTGATGGTTTGTAAGGTTTTTTAAAAAAGAATAAAATTTGGCTTCTTTGGCTATAAAGTGGGTCTCTGATATATCAAAGATATCAATATTATTTTCAATAATAAAGTCGTAGATTAGATTTTGTTTAGATAAGGAAGAAAGTCTATTTGAGTTTAGTGAGCAAATTTTGATTTGTTGAGTTTGAGGTATATTAGATTGTTCTGAATTAGTGCTGTTAAATAAGTAGTTGGGAATATAGGTTTGGTTTGTTTTGGTTTTAATAAGGGAATTATAATATAATTTGTATTAGAATAGATCTAAAAGAGTATGATTTGATAAGATTGTTTCTTGGAGGTTAATATATATATGAGTTTTCAAGGTTATTATATTGGCAAATATTTTGAAAGGTTTTATAAATAAGTATTTGTAAAGGTGTTTTAGAAATGATTTGAGTGTTTGAGATAGTGAAAAAAGGGGTATGTTGTGCTTTTGAAGAAAGAGATTAAAGCATGTGTTCTTAAAAAGTTAAAATAAATTGAAATTTGAAAATAAGGTATTCTTTACAAGGATGCTCACTGTTTTAAGCTTAGCTCTTATAGCTATGAAGGTTACTATAGCCTGTCTTGTATATTGGGTCTGGCCATTATAATCTTGAATCTCCATATAAATAGGCTTGCCCATCTGCCTACTTATATCATTCTCTATACTAACTGCAACAGAAGTATCTTTTAATATAGTGGTGGCTATATTTATGTTGTTTGTAAAAAACAAAGAAGTTATAAAGAAGAGTTGTTAGGAGTTTTTAAAGTTTGAAAATTTTAAGATAAGTCTTTTATAGATGTATTTTTATTATAAGAAGTTGTTTTGAAGGAAGTGTTTTGTAATTTAACTTTAGGTTTGAGGTTAAAAAATAGATTATTATCTATTTTTAAAGAAGTTGGAATGTTAAATTTATTGTTAAAATTTTTTTTTGCCTTTTGTAAGAATTTTGTATTATATAATTTGCTAATTTTAGAAAAAATAATATTTGGATTTTTTAGAATATAGAAATAGGTTAGAGTTTGTATTAGTGTATAGATACTAAAAGGCTTGCTTGTAATTTTATTAATTACTTGTTGTGAATAGAGGTCAATAATCTTGTCATTTTTTGTAACTGCTTTAAAATATGCTCTGAAGTAGCTATAGAAATAGTAAGCTTGACTTTTAAAATTTGTTTCAATTTCATTTTGTTTTGTAAAGAAGTTTTTTACTTCTTGAGATAATTCTTGAAATAAAGAAGTTGGTGTGGGTTTAGAAAAGATAGCTTCATATTTATAATCTTTATTGAAGATAAGGTAGTCTAGAGTTGAGTAGATATAAGTTTTTTTTGGTTAATTGTTTGATTGGGGTGCGGAAAAGTATTTGAAGGATTCAGTAAAGTAGTATATAATAACATTTTTTAAATTGTGTTTAGTATTATTAGAAATAATACTGCATTTTTTAGTTTCATTAAACTTGTATTTATACAAATGAAAAAAAGCTTCTTTGGTGTATTGTTAAATTTTTGAATTAAGAGAAGTAATATTAGAAATATCAAAGTTAAATAATTAAAGATTTTTATATATTGAAGATAATTCTTAAATTTAATATATTTTTTAACTTTAGTTTTGTCTATTGTTTAAATTGTTTAGAATAGTTTGAAAAGAATTTTTTAAACTACTTATCTAGTTGGGTTTGGTGGTTTTTAAGAGAAGAAATTTTAAAGGTTTGTAAAAACTTAGTTTTAGAGATATTTAATTCAACATTAATTCTGAATTGTTTGTTATTTCAAATTTGAGTAGAAGTTGGTTGAGGTTATCAAAGGAAATATAAAAGTATAGTAAGAGATAGTAGGGTTTAATATTAAGATCTTCTAAGAATTTCTTAATATTAATAAATTTATATTTCAACTCTTTCTATCGATTACTGAAACCAAATTCGGGGCTAAAGAAAATTAAAGCTAGAACTGAATAATACTTAAATAACAATTAGAAGAGCTTCAAGCAAAAAAATAGAACAGAAGAAAACAACTTGAGTTTTTTAGAACGATATTTTATTCCAAGACTTTAGAAGCTTCTTGTTTGCAGATTTTTAAATTTTTTGAACAAAATTATAGAATTGTTTTAGAAACTTTGGGGACTTGTCACTAACCCTGTCATGCAGATCACAAATTGGCAAAACAAGCAAACACGTACAAATTAGGCGAATAAACAAACAAGCCTAACACTATTAGAAAAACAAACAATACAACAAACAAATACAAACAAAACAAGAAAACACGTGTCAAGTAAACAGACAGTCGCGTAAAATGTTAGAACTGCTGGATTACAAGAATTTCTTTACTAAATCAGAAAAAAAAAGAGCATTATTTTACAGTGAACAAAATTTAATTGTTCTAGAAGAAGACAGAAAAGTCGCAAAGTATCTGGGCACTATTAATACCTATCTTGTAGCTATTATTCATATAGTTCTGCAATGTTATGACTGGGCATAGCACAAAAAGATAAGAGAACAAACTCTGTCAAAAGAAAAAGAAAACTTACTGGATTTAGAGTATAATAACAATATGCAAGTTAATATAGTGAAAAAAAAACAAACTCATAGTAATATTAACAAAGCTAAAGTCAAGTTAGAGTCTATTAAACCTACACTTTCACAAACAATTATACTTAGTAACAAAAACAATAATGATATAGAAATTGAGAAAAAAGTATCAGTAAATCAAGCCACAGATATGAAACAAAAACAAGATAGTGACAGTAAAAACAAAGCTAACCAAGTAGCTATAGAAATTACTACTTTACAAATAGCTGCTATAGATAACGAAAATAACAACAATATAGAATTTGAGTTTCAAAAAACAACTCAAAAAAGAAACTATGCAGAACAATCTGAAGATACAATTGTAATAGAGAATGAAGTAACTAAGTCAGAGCTAATTAAAAAAGCTTTAATACAAAGTGAATCAGGAGTATTAGATTATAGTATTAGAGAGCAAATTGCAAAAAAATATCAAAATAGCCCCAAGGCAACAATCAAAAAAGATCACAAAAAGACAAAACAGTATGAAGATATCTTTAATTCAGCATGGGCTCCAAGAGGCAGATTTTTGTCAGAAAAAAATACAAGCAATTCAGAGTATTTCTTTACAATTTGGGATTTACTCAAAGAAATGAACACAAGGGAAATCAAAAAGTATCTTAGCTATTTTGAAACAGCAACAGTTCTTGCATGGCAGCAGAACTTTAAAACCGAAGCAGCATATATTAGAATAGTAACAAATATAGATAGAAGAGGAAACTCATTAAAAAAAAATTGGTTAGTACATTTTGACCAAGGTAAAACCTACAAAACAACCCCTAGAAAATTCAAAAATATGGAATTAGAAGCAAGAAATAAATACAAATGCACAATTCACAAAGTGCTTACAACAGTGCTCGATAGTTTATTGTTGCGTCAACTTAAAAAGTATAAAGTACAAGCAGTATATATCCCAAATAACCGTAATGGCAACCTAAGCAAAAGAGCTCATATATACTTTAGAACAGAAGAAGACCTGCTTCAAGCACAAAAACACGATATATATTATTATAATACCAAATTAGAATGGCAATTAGGTTCAGAAGATACGAATAACAGGAATATAACAAGTGTGCAAAACTATTATAAAAGACTAGTAAAGAAAACTGAAGCCTCCAGAGTACAAGGACCAGATAAAAAACTTAAATACATGAATAATAGAATAAGATATAACAAATATCAGAAAGATAATAAAGAAAATAATTACAAGGTAGATAGCAACTTCAAAATGAAATCGCAAAGTAGAGGAAAACTTGCCTTTAGGAATAGACAAACTAATTTGGAGAATAACAAACAGAAGAATAATACCTCTAATAATAGAAATCTAAAAGAGAACCTAGAAGAGCCTAGAGGTAGTAGTCAAAACAAAAGAAAGGCAAAAAAACATAAAGATAAGACAACTACTGATAGTTATAAACAGATCTTAGCAGAAATCTTGGGCAGATTAGATAGAATTGAGAAAAAACAATTAGGAGCAGACGCTTCTAATTACTTCTAAAAGGCGCTTTAGGCGTTTTAATGAAAGAAGGTGGCACAAAAATATCAAAGAAAGTTAGCCAAAACAGGCCACCAAAAAAAAGCAACATCACAAATAGTCAAATAAGTATGGAAATAAAGCAAAAAAGAGAAATACGAATAGAAAACAACAGAACAATTCTGAAGGTAGCATGTCATAACATCAATGGGCTTAAAACAAACCAACAAAAATTTGAGCTATTAGAAAATTGGGTAACAGAAAGAGAGATTAATATAATCAGCTTGGTAGAAACAAATATAAATGAAAAAGAGAGTTTTTTTTTAGGGAAAAAGTGAGAGAATTACAGATTTTTCTGGTCAAACATGGCAAAAGACAAGAAAAAAGGGTCAGGGGTTGCTTTAGAAGTTAAAAATTGCTAAGAAAAATATTTGGGCAGCATTGATGTTAAAAGTGAATATATGCTAGTAGCTAGATTCTTTTTCAAAAATATGGAACTTATAATAATACTAGTTTATTTACCCCAAACAATGAAGAAATCAAAACTAGAATTTACAAAAGTATTATAAAAATCTATATGAAAAGAAGCAAACAAGCACATATAATGATAATGAGGGATTTCAATTATGTGGTAGATCCGATGTTAGACAAAAGTTCTGATCAAAAAACAAAGAAACACAAAGTAGCCAAAATACATAAATAGTTAGAAAAAAGTAACTTTGTAGATACATTTAGATTTATATATCTGACAAAAAAAGAGTATACATAGTCAAACAAGATTTGTGTTACAAGAATAGATCAAATATAGATCTCAGATAATCTATTAGATGGGCTGAGAGGTGCAGAAATTATAGAAATAGAATACATAACAGATAGTGATCACAAGACAGTATACACTGTATTACAATTAGACTTGCAAATTTACAAATTACCGGCAGCAATGGAGAAAAACAGAAAACACTTTAGAACAGTATACCTTTATGATGAAGCAAAAGCAGAAGACTAGGAGGAATACAGAAGAATATTAGAGAATAAGATTAAAGACAAAGTCGATATTCTAAAGAATTTCCAAGAAGAAATTGTAGAAAAGAATACAAGTTAAGTATCTCAACTAGCTAACCAAACATGGTCAATTTTTAAAACAAGCATCTTGGAAGCAGCAAATAGAAGCCTACCTAAGAAGCGAGTTTGTAATAGTATTTTACATATCAAAAACAATAGTTCCAAAACCAAACTAGCGAAGCTAACAAAAAAAACAAGCACATGGTTAAGGCAGATTAGAAGAATCTCAAGCCAAAAAATATTATTGAAAAGTGAAGAAGAAATAAATATGAGATTAAAAAAGCAAATAAAAAGTTTAATCTGGCAATGTCTGAAATAGAACAAAATAACCACGAAGAATGGCTTAATGATATGAAAGGTTGGTGGAGATTAATAAACAAAAAAAGATTAGAGAAACTTGAAAGAATTAAATTTAAAGAAATAGAGGCAAATATAAATAGAAGATGTGAAATGATAGAAAACAACCAAGGGAAAATGTTAAATAGCTTGTTAAATAGACCATGTAGTAAGATCAAAGTGGACAGACTATTCAAAGAACAAAACAATACAAAAACTTTGATTACAGAACCAAATAGAGTACTAGAAGAAACAAAACAACACTATGAAAAGCAAATTAGAGAGAGAAATCCCAAAAGCTTTATAGAGGCAAAAACTTGGATAGAAGTATACGAACCAATTAGCTAGATTCAAGAAAGTTGGTATACAGGTATAAATAGTAAGATCACAGAAGAAGAATGGATTTCTACAATTAGAACACTTAAAAATAAAACAGTATCTGACATATCAGGCATTACATACAACTTGATTAAAAATGCGAACACAATGACTCAGGAGTGGTTTAGGTCATTCGCAAACTTTTGTATAAGGGAAACAACATTCTCAGATAAATGGAAGAGAGCACAAATTTATCCGATTTCTAAAACTACAAATTGGAATTCCAACCTTGGCAATACATGCCCAATCACCCTATTAGAGATATTCAGAAAGTGTATAACTAAAATTTTATCAAATCGGCTCTTCAAAATATTAGTGAAACACTAGATATTACGGGGTTGGAACTTCGCAGGTCTTCCTGGAGGCTCAACAGAATATCCAGTACATATAGTTAATATGTTGAAAGAAGATGCAAAAGAGAAAGGATTAGAGCTTTGGGTAGTACTGCAAGACATGAAGAAGGCGTTCGA